GTTGGAGTCTGGTTGGGATCGTGTTGATGGGGAGGATTTCGATTGTGGGTAAGGGGGCTTTGGCATGTGCAGGGCGATGCGGGGGAGGAGGGCGAGGAGGCGCGGGAAGGTCGCGGCGAGACAGGTGGCTTCGAAGAGGGTTGCGAGGGCACCGGTTGCTTTTGGTGTGTCGGAGGCGGAGGAGGAGGCGCAGGTGTAGTTCTTGTTTTGAAGGGGGCGTGGGTTAGCACTGAGAAATGTATGTGCAGATCTTGATTTGATATATATATTTCGTAGGGATCATTGCATTCCGTGCAGAGAGATTTTCGCTCTGCTCGTGATCTGCAGAAAATCCACAGGGATCCACAAAAAGCAAAAAAAAAAGTTCTTATTACAAAAAAAAAAAAATAAATAAATAAAAAACAGAATAGAAGAGAATAGAAATACCTGAATCCCCCTGCCAATGGTAACATGCAACAGCTTCTGCCCCTCAGGCACGGGTGGTAGCGGCTTGATGGGCGCTGGCAGCCTGGCGCGCGAGAAATCGCAGTTTTTGCGGGAAGGATCCTTGTGGGACTTCCTCGCGGCCTCGATCTCCTTGGCCACGGTGGAGTAGAACTGGGCTGAATCCGGAGACCAGCCGGGCGGGGCGGCCAGGGCGACGGAGGTGAGCGAAGCCAGCGCGGCTAGGAGGAGCAGGAGTTGCATTGTGTTGAGATTGAGAGAATTGGGTATTGAGTACGGAGTATATAATATGGATTGCTCTTTCGCGTTGCCGTTCTTTCAGCGGCAGGGAGGCAAGTAAAGGGATAGAAGTAGAAGTGCTGTGGTGTATATGCGTATATGCGTATATGCGCGAGAGAGAATGTATACAAGGGAATATAGTAGAAGGAATTCGTAAGGTGGATGTATCGTATCGTGAACTCCCGAGCACCCAGCGCTCAGAGGAGGATGTGTGTGGAACAGAAGAAGAGAATATAGAACAAGAACAGGAATATTATCGACAAGAAGAGGAAACACCACACAGAACAGAGCTGAAGCAGAAGACAGGAAATATTGAGAGACTGGCTGATTGATGGCCAGAGAAGAATCGAGAAAAAGATCGTCCACCGCGGGTTATATACACAGCACCCAGCGAGTACCCTCACCACCTCAGAGCATCACAGAGCAGAGCATATCCCATCCTAGCCCATCCTAGCCCATCCTAGCCCATCCTATCCCATCCCCGGTATGCAGAACAACCCTCCTCAACCCTCGTCCTGGCGCATCGCGCACAGTCGTCGTAGTCCGTAGTCGGAGCTGTAGTGGTCCCTAGTCGTCAGATTGACAATCTCCTTCCCCCAACCGCCGTGGTTGGCCCCACACCCTATTGGCCCCAACTCCCGGTTCCTGAACCTGAATTAGAAACACCCTTCCCCGATCGGGTCTAGTCGCCAGGGCAGGCTGCAGCGAACCATGGCTCTAATCCGCTTCCAGCACGTTGCGAGCCCCACCCGGGCCGGCGCTGATTGGCTGCCAACCCTCGCGCTTGCCCCTCTCCTGCGTTTTGGGGGGTCTGCAGCCCCTGATTGGCTGTAGGCCTGGTCCATTCCCCGTGTTCTTTGACGCCGGTTGCTTAATTTAAACACTCCAGCAGCAGTCACTGGCAGCATAGCAGGACTAGTCTGTGTACGCCGTAGTATTACAGTGTGGTCCTGGCGCCAGTGCTCGTGCTGGTGCTAGTGCTGGTGCTACACCGGCGCCCTTCAGTTTATGCGGTGGCTGCACTCCGGGATGGGCGGTGCGAGCAGAGGAATGCCATCCCTGGTGACGGGGCGGGCGAGGGTAGAAAGAAGTATTCTGTAATCTGTACGTAGTACGGAGTAGTCCATAGTCCGGAGTATATCGGCAGCCTGTCACCAGGTACCTAGGTATCATCAGAAGGGAAATATCAATTTGGCACGTTTGAGGGTCCCCCTCCACCCCTGTGGACCCTGGCCTGCAAAATGACATATATCGCATCAATTGCATTTCACATTGCATTTCACATTGCCAGTTACTACTAACTAGTGGCACTCTGGAATATTCCCATTGTTTGGTTTTTTCCCCGGGAGCAAATGTCACCAGCCTGAAACCAGCGGAGATGATAGCAGTTCTCTGAACTATGCACGTCATCCATTCCCATACACGTCTCAGCTGTCTCGTGGCCCCGGAATGGCCAAACACGCCTCCTGGTACCTGAAGATCTCGAGTCTCACCATTTACCTTGATGTGTCAAACCTTTCGAAACGAAGGGCGGCTTCCCAGCCTGGCCGATGGGAAACTCGAAACTCAATCTCAATACTTTTAGTCGGCGAGCGTTAGATTAACTAACTACTACTACTACTACTCCCCCCTTCTCGAAACCATACCTCCCAGCACCCAGCTATAACTTGGAACCTGGATATTTTGGATTCCCGAACGGGTGGAAACAACGGCGGCGTTGTGCAAATGGAACGGCAAAACACCGAACATCCATCTCCGTCTGATGATGATGATGATGATGATGATGATGATGATGATGATGATGGTAATCCAACTCGTATATTCTCGTTCTCCCTCTCCCCCCCATGATGGAGACTTTCTGTAACCAGCAAACAAGACGGAGAACATGAGGAGCAGACTGTGAGAAAGAAGGGGGGGTGTTGTTTGAAGGCTGAAGGAGAAACAAACGTGTAACAAGCTTTCGCAGACTTTTTGCGCAACGTAGTATCGATGTGCCTCTCTTCGCGCAATCGGGCGGCGACCGAATGCAATCAGGAAGGCGATGTTCAATCTTCATTTTGATGAAATCAACCCCCTCCCTCGGACAAAGTCAAATATATTATCAACTCCTAACTCCTTCGACAATGTATGTAGTTTAGTGCCTGGTAGTTCCCCTGGTAGTTTCCTAGTACGAG